GGGAAAGAGGAGCAAGCTGGGAGAAGGGCTTAGTGGCCTGGAAGCCAGAGACCTGAGCACCAGCCAGATGAATTCAGAGACTGAACTGAGACCTAGTTCTGAGGACTCCCTACCTAGGAGAGGGTGCCTGGGCTGAGGAAGGGAAGATCAGTGTGTAAATATTTTTTAAAAAATGGAACCTCAGGATGTGAATGTTGGAGCAGGTGGAGAGCTGCTCCAGCCCCACTGGTTAACCTTAACCGGTAAGCCTCACCTATTGAGAAGGAGGCTTACTGGTTAACCCTTCACAACCAGAGTCACCATTTAGAACTTCCTGGCCAGAAAGTCTCAAGTCCTCCTGATGCAGGAGTGCACGTCCTTTTACAAAAAGGGCTCATGGCATCTCCATCAGAGGGCCTATGATGGAAGTAGCAGGTTTGGATCTATCCAGTAGAAGGCAGTGGTACACACGTACTACCCCTCACCTCAATGGCCCAAGCTAAAGGACAGAGCTGTTTGTGGACAAAGTGACACCAAACATTTGACTACACCATGAGGCTACAGCACTAGTCTCTGCACATGAAAGTTCATCCATTGCTTTAAACATTGTGTGCACACTAGGCACCAGAGTTCAGCTTTAATCTAGCTTTGTACTGCCTAAACCAGCCCTAGATTGTTTCCCCCGCTGTCCAGGACTACACTTGAAGCACTTCCTACTGGTTTAGTATGGTCTTTGTAATCTCTGTATGCTCAGCTACTAAGAGCTGGGCCCAGAGACCTCAACATCCCATACTTGGGGTGGGGAGAAAACATGCTCAGTTCCAATGTAAGCCTTGAAAACCTACAGATATCCACTTTATCTGTGGATAAGGATGCGGATATGCACGACTCACTTTTGCGGATATGAATGAGGATGCAAATTTTATATCTGCAGGGCTCTAGCCATATGCTCCCATCCCAACCCTAGTAGGCAGTGAGGCAGGGCAGGAGTCCATGCAGGCAAGTGCTCTTTAAAAGGCTTCTATCAAAAGGCGGTAGCTGGCAATCCCACTCTAACACACTCCCAGCAGTACAGGGCCTATGATATTTGTTAGGCTGGGGAAGCACATTTGCTCATCTTCTATCCTGGGATGTTTCCATAAGCACCAGCTCTCCCTTCCCACTAGGTAGTGAAAGCTTCAGCTCTAAGCCTTGTGGAAGTGTAGTTATAAGCCAGCATTCACAGGTTAATATTCTCATTCTTCAGTGAGATCTGTCCAGCTAGATACAGCTACTTGCTCAGCAGTGGCAGTGACAGGCCTACTAAGGACAGCATGAATCAAAGATGACCATCCCCCATACACTCTAAAGTGTACCACTGCCCTTTACTGATTGAATTGGTGCCATTTGCTCAAGGTTTTTGGGAGCCCAGCTGCTTGTGTTTGAAGTTACCTAGTTAGGCCCCTGCACTTTTCTGGAGCATGAAAATTCCATGGAGGTATGTTGCTGGTCAGCCACGTGCTGTAGGCAATTGTGCATTTCAAAATGCTTCAGCAAGGCACCAGATCCCCAGTGCCACCAAAGGCAGCAAGTGACACAGGGCCAAGAGAGAATGCAGTGCTACCTTACCTCCTTCCCCCCTTCTCGCTCTAAGGGACACAGCCCAGCTGTTTCAGTAGGGAACTCCAGCTCCAAGCCAGGCTGAGAACAAGGGCCCCTTCTTAGGGTTATGCAATAGGTTTTCCTTAGCGCCTGTCCTAGGAGTGGAGAGCTTGGCAAGCTATGCCAAACCAGCATCCTACAGGAAAGGACACCAGATCCACCTGAGAGTGCGGGTTACCCTGCACTCTGACAGAGCCAGGGGGGAGCAGAAGGGAGAAGGGGTGCTCCTCTGCTCCTACATGTCAGCTCAGGACTATAGCTGAGAAACGAGGGCTGGGGTGGCCTAAGGGAGAGGCACATCCTTTCCCTAGCTGTGATGAGCTCCTCCAGGACCATCGCACTCCTCTTCTCACAAACAGAGCTGGACTTTGGCTGTCTGAGGCCAGTTCTGTCCAAGTTGTATCTGGCTTGCCCAGCTGTCCACTGTTTAGAGTCATGAGAAGCTGGGAACCTACTAACCCATTTGCTCACACAAAAAAACAAGCCTGTTATCTGGGAGACAATAATCCCGCCCCCCCCCCCCGCGACCACCACCAGAAAGGAGGGAGAAAAACAACAAAAGCAGAATTAGCAGCTACAACCACAGGAGTGAAAGGGTTAACATTGTCAAACAGCAGAGGCACATGGGAGTTTGGCCTAGAAGAGAAGCAGGGCAACAGCGTGAAGGGTTCCTCCCCCACTGGGATGCCAGGCCCTTTGGGATGGATGCTGGATTCAAAGCTAGCTGGAGAAACCTCCACAGTTACTAAGGTCTGTCTGCAATGGCAAGGGAAGCTCATTTAACATCTCTCCAGCTCGCCATAGTGGACTAAGCCTTCCTAGAGCTACCACCCAGATCTCTGCTCAGCGCAGGCAGGGGCCATGGTGGCACTTCCTCTCCCTCCACCTGCCAACTGAGGCTGCTAGTTGCAGAAGAAAATGCTACCAGCCCTTGTGAATGTGCAGAAAGCAGGCAGAGCCCTACTCCTCCTCACCAGTGAGTTGGCTGACAAGGCCCATCTGCAATTCTACTATTAAAAGGGCACATCCTGTGTAAGAGTTTGGCTTAGCTGTAAACTCTGTATTATGTCAAATCCAATCAAGCCTCCTATTATTTCAATTCTCAGTGCACTCTGGGACAGCAGTTCCCAACCCCCAGTCTGCAGACCAGTGCCATTGTGTGGCAGCTGACCAAGCTAAAGCTAGCTGCTGTACAGCTGCTTTCGGGGCTGGGGCATATATTTTGGTGGACAGGTAACTATTTGCATAGTCATTTTAGGGATGTTAAATATCAGTCAACTGAATAGTCAATTAACCTCATGAATTCTTAACAGTTAGCTGACTATTCCATAGTCCTAGGGGGTGGGGCCGGCAGCCAGTGCCCTCTGGCCCCACTCCCAGGGAGCCCCTTGCCATCCCACACTGATGCGTCGCTATCAGAGGCAGCAGTGTGAGGTGCCATGTGGGAGCTAGTCTGAGGGGAGCCAGTTTAAAAAATGGCTCCCCTCATGGACCAGCTGCCTGTCACCTTACGCTGCTGCCTCTGTATCAGACGCAGCAGCATGGGATGGCAGCAGCCACAGTTGGGAGGGAGGGGGTGGGGGGTTGGGGTTTGAGCTCCAGAACGGAGCCGGGCTACCTGCCGGGCTCCTAATACACTTTAGATGCAGAGCTGCAGCGGGGGTAGGTCCCAGACAGTGCAAGTCTGGACTGCTGGCGAGCCTGCTTAAAAAAAGTTACTGGCAAGGAGGAAATGCGTGTAGTCTACAGCATTAACCAATAAGCTTTTACTTATTGGTTAAACAACACTATTACATCCCTAATTAATTTATGCAAATAATGTTACCAGTCCACCAAAAGTGTGTGAACTGGTTTAGTGGTCTGTGGTAAAAAAAGTGGTTGGGAACCACTGCTCTAGAAGACCAACTCTTACTACAAAGGGCTTGAGCTGCCCCTCAGAGCTAACTGCAGGGCTGAGCAAGCTGTGGATTAGCAGAGGGGATACACCAGACAGGAGTCTGACCTGGGCTGAGAGGTGGGAAGAATTCTATGGGCCACGGTAGGATTAAGCACTGCGAGCCCATTGTGCAGTTAAGTCTTCTAGTCTGTGGCTATGAGACATGGAATGCCATAAGACACTGAAGTCACAAGCTAGCCAGAGTCTTGGCTTCAAGCACACGCCAGTGTTTTGGTCTGATCAGAGATGCCCAATGCTAGTAAGGAACAAGTCCTGTTTTCCCTTTCCACTCCAGTACTCCGAGTTACTGCAATCCTTCTAGTGCCATTAAAGGTCTCTCCCCTGAACCAGGGGAGCCAGAGCTGATGATTGACTGGAGGAGAAAGGAGAGGTCTGCAGCAATTGCTTTCTCAGTCTCCTACAGACCAGGTTTCTAATGAGTTACTGAGTAACTGGCCTATTGGTAGCAGTTGCACCAGCATCATAATCCAAAAGGGCCGGGACAGATTCCCTCTGGAACCAACACTGATGTTTCAGCCCAGGCACTTTGCTCCAGCACATTAAAAATGCTGAATCACCCCCATGCGGCTGCGGGTTGCTTGTGTATTGGGCTTCCCAATTTGGTGCCAACACAAGTGATCTCCCAGCCTCCCATTCCCAGGCCACTAGCCCTGACAGGTGCATCAGTGTTGTTTCGCCAGTGGTTCAGAACACGAGAGTCACTACGTTTTCAACATTTTAACAGGAGACTGGATATCGTGCAATGGGAAGCCTTGAGCCAAGCGCTGGACATGGATGGCTCAGCCACGCTTGATGCAACATGCTCGCGGGGCAGTGGGCAGCTCAGCCACCCCCACCCCAATTCAACATTATCTTGCCACAAGTCTCCCACCTGGCAGGGACTCCGAATCAAGGGGACAGTTGTGAGGCCATTTCCTCAACACCTCTAACAAAGAGGGGCCTTGTACTGCTGGCCTGCCATCACTCATGCCATAGGTAGCAAACGAGCCTGAGGAGTGGGATTGGAGGTTTGTCCCTTGACCAATTTAACAAGAAGTCTCCTGAACATCAATCCCCTGGAGGAAGGTTTTGCTCTGGTCAGGGAGCCACATGCATGGTACTCCACCTGGGCAGTAACCCTGCATTGGCCCCACGGAGCTCAGAGGATTTTATTCCTCCCTCTTCCCAGGCCCTGTGCGAGCAGACAGAACACTGGCAGAGGATTCCCAGTTTGGGTTGGGAAAGAACAGAGGGTCAGTAAACACTCAGCTGCCGCTCACGGACACTCTACCCATAGCTCTATGCCTTAACAGGCAAGGTTTAGCCACAGCACAGCTCAACTCCCACCACTCAGGGCAACAGTCTGGTAGAAAAGGAGGAATCCTGGGCAGCCCATTTCACATTAAAATGTTGAAAACAGCGTAATGCTGGGTCCGAGCTGAAACTGGGTTGGGAGAAACAGGTTAGAATGCAGATGTCTAGCAGATGAGGTGATCTTACCGCTGATGCGCTGGCGGAGAGAATGAAATTACGAGGTCTAGTCTCCTGAAAGTCAGGCACAGCCTAGGGAGGGGGGGAATAGAGTTTCATGTACAAGTCACGCAGAAGAGTCAATGGAAAAATCAATACTCCCAGTGAATGGTGGAAGGGCTAAAACTGTTCTAGGAGCTGGACATGGATGAGGTCTCCTAGAGTGCTGGGGGGTGTGAGGTAGCTGCCAGCTGTGGGTGTGTTCTTTGGAGATCATGAGAACTTCCAGCTAAGTCGAGGGCCTTTCCTACACTGGGCTCATCTGTCACCTAGGGGAGCAGATCCGTATCATTTACACCAAGTCAAACCAGCATCAGAGTGGAGTATTCGGAAGCGGTTTGAGCCTAGCCCGTGTGTTCTTGCTCTGGCTGATTAATGTGGATGGATTTGTAATGGTTTTAAGCTAGACCCAAGGTGAAGACTCAGAACACACTTCCAAGTCCTGTGCAGACAGGTCCATAGCATCTCTTGCACATTCACATTTCTCCTCCTCTGCAACCTGTGGATCCTCACAGGCTAAAGAATGAATATGCAGCTAGAATAGCCACAGGATGGGGGACACAAGGGAATCCCTAACTGGGTGAAGTGTGCTCTAGCATCCAACATTGTGTTCATGAGGAAGTGCACTTTCTCTACCCAAGCTGCCATTAGCATGTGCCAATGGGGCTTCATCTACCAGTTCCATTCTCTCCAGTGTCAGTTTCTGCCAGAGGCAAAGCCTCTCCCCCCATTGTTCTCCAGTCTGGTGCCGGCATCTGGAGACCCCTTGCTTTTAGTGCAAGGAAGGAGATGCAAGTCTTCCCCCACACGCTGCATCCAAACCTCAGAAGAGTCCCCCCCCCTTCCACATGCAGAGGAGCAGATCTGGCCCATCGCCTTGCTGGCCAAGACTCCATTCAGTAGCATGTGCAGACTCTACTTCACAGAAGTGGGGGGAGGGGAAGAGGAAAGCAATCAAGCCATTTTGGCCATTGTTGAATCCTGCTATTGAGGCAGGTAGGACAGGAAGGTTAAAGCTGCAGATTCTTCCCTTATGGGAACATGGACCATGGCATGGGGAAGATCCCTCACGATGGGGGCGATGCAAGATCCAGCCTTTCCTCTGCCCTAGAGGCCACGTCCTCATTTGCCACTTCAGCATCGTGCAGCAGCATTAGCCAGGTTGCAATCAAGACTATGCTATGGCCTTCAGTTTAACAAGGGCAGTTGGCTGTAAGGGACTGGGTTGGTTGTCAGATACGCCAGTGCAAGCCCCTCCATTTGATTTGCACAAGTAACAGATCAGAATATGGCCCAGCAAGTTCTAATCATATGCAGCGAGCTGGTGAGAGTCACATGATCCAGCATTTCTAACCTCACGCGGATCTCTATAATCCTCTCATCCAACTCCATCCCACCCTGCTCAGCTTTTTACAGCACACTCCGCTCTTAAACAACTGGCTGCAAATAGCAGCATTGCTGAGCAGATGCACGGCTGCCATACACAAGAGGATGTAGCCAGCCTCATCAATAAGGGAGTTTCCCTCCTGGATTTATGGGGGCGAGAGGCGAATAACCTAAGCTAAAAAGGAAAATACCAAACCCAAGAAGAAATGCAGTAGCTGATAAGGGATTCCTGTGTAGGGCACAGCTGATCAAGTCCACACTCCCACTGGCCAGATGTGTCAAGTAAGAGGAGCTCTCCAGAAGAGCAAGATCTTTATGCCTCAGTTTTCTGGGAAAAGTAGCTATGCTGAAAAGGTCCCTCCTTGGTTTCCAGTATGGCTTCCTTGAATTGGTCTTCTGTGCAGCACATGATATGGAGAAGGCAAGCAGCTATCACACCCCTGCACACTGGCAGGTTTCATTTGCAAGCAGTGGTCAAAAGGGAACATAAGACTCAAGGAATACACCCACCTTCCCACCCTCCTGTACTGGGAATAGACGAGTGCCCTGGAGCTTAAGGAGGGACAAAACACCACTGCAGACCAAATTCAATCCCTGCCCATCATTGTCTCTCTTTTCTCCTCCCCCCCCCACCCTAACCCTACCCCTAACCCTAACCCCAACCGTACCCCTACTCCTACCCCTAACCCTACCCCTGCCCCTACTCCTACCCCTAACTGTACCCCTACTCCTAACCCTACCCCTAACCCTAACCCTACCCCTAACCCTAACCCCACCCCCTTTCCCACACTGAGCCACAGGGAAGAATCCAGTCGTGTGTGCATATGGGACCCAACCTCCTTTGAGCACTGCTTGCAAGAGGTATTCATGGAAACTGATTGCATGCTCCTGGAACAGGGCTGCAAGCAACCAGGAGATTTCCAGGGTTTTTTGGGCACCCTTGTGTCAGGCAGCCACTAGCTCAGACTGCATTTGGAATATGCTCCAGGGTTGCTGCGGGAGGCAGTTGAGTTTTTTGAAAGGGGGAGGGACAATGAGGGGTGTTTAGAAAGTCACAGCACTAGTAACACAGTTAATACTCACATCTCCCTCATACTGAGCAAATTACAGAAAAAACAAGACAAAACAAAAAAGGTTAGTGAACAAAAACACCATCCATGTCAAAGACAAAGCAAGAGCCCCACAGAGGTTAGAGGGGACACAAACGAACCCAGGGGACAGAACTGCAACTCACTGATTTGGAGATACCAACCTCAGCAGCACCATGAGAAACAAAAGCCAAGGGGAACAGGAGTGGAAGTGCGCAAAAGCAGCACTATATTGGAGGAAGACATGACCACAACCTTGGGGGAAGAGATGTCACTAATGCCAGGGGTTGTTTCCTACAGCAGACTTCAGGTTAGGGAAGTAAAATCCCATTTAAATTAGTTAACCAGTTAAACATTTAACCAGCTAACTAATTAAATGGGAGGGTGGGCAGGGAGGTGCTGCTCCAGCTGGGCTGGCCAGAATACTCTGCAGCACAGAACCCTCTCCCCATCCCCCAGCTCTGCTGAGGCCAGGTAACCAGTATCCAAAAGACCGGGCTTGATAAGATTTTTATCTATGCTGGTATCCAAGGTGACCACCTGAGTCAAGGCTGCTCATTTACGTCACGACATTAGCGTTGTTCCCAGGAAGCAGGGCAGTGCATGGGCACCTGCATTTCAGGACTGTTGAGGATATTTGGGAAAAGACTTAATACCCCGCAACAAGGCTTGTGATCTGCTGTAGCACAGTTCATGGTTGCGGTTGCACTCAACGGTCTGATGCCTAGCCAGAGGTAACCCTTCCAGAGCTTGGATTACACACTGTAGAGCACTGGGCAAAGCCTTTAAGGGCACTGGGCTACTGAGTCACTGCCCAGAGTTGCACTGCCTAAGCAACTGAAGAGGGAAAGGAAGGCAGATCTAAGAATACTGCTCTAAGAGCAAGGCAGAAAAAGAGAAGGGGTTAGCATACACTGACTGCAGTAATCAAGTACCATTTCCAGAAAAGCAAGGGGCACCATGAGCTGGATGGGCTGGGGGCAGAAGTAGCAGATTTTCCAGATTTGGACCCAATATTCATCATTTACCTCCTTGAAACAAAGAGCATGTCTCCCCACCTCACAACCTGAGCATCTACCCATGGGGAAACTGGTGTTCTTGAAAGGTGAGTATCTGGGGGAGAACAAGAGTCACCTGAAGTGGGGAAATGGAGGGCATGTTTTCATGCCACCACAGCTGTTCCCTGTTGGGTGGCAGTACCATAGTCTCAGTGACTGGACAGTCTGCTCAGCCAGGGGAACTGGCTTGTGTATGAACACAGTGTCAAGACTCCAGGGTGCAAAAGCCACCTCAGAGGGGACAGAGCAAGTGTTCACAGATGTTAGCACTGGGATCGATTGACTGAAGGTATTTGATGTTCGCATTACTACCCGCACTCCTCAGAGGATGCCACACAACAGGAACCAATGCTGGAAAGAGGGAAGAAGAATCTCTGGGACATGTAGAGAACCAAAGCCTAGCCACACGGACAGCTGGTGGATGGGCCAAGGCCAGGACACCTGGTATTTTGCATCAGGGGGGAGCCAAACTGGGTGACAAGGATTCAGCTTGTTCTGATGGTGGCCATTAGTTCACTGGCTAAAGCTTGAAGCCTCATTGCAAGACCTAAGGCTTGACACAGCTTGTGTGACATGGACATGAGTCCATGTTTACTTTGGCTCTACTGCAAACCTATTGAACAGGATATTCGGAGGAACCCACTTACACAGCTGCATCTGCACTAGCTTTTCCTTCCTATTTCCCCCCCAACAATGCACTGCTAACACAGCCCAAGCAGTAAAGGGAGCATTGTGGTAGCCAGCCCCTGGGAGTTAGCACCATCATGTGACGCAGGGACAGGCACAGACATCTGGTCAGAAAAATAACGTTGAGATTCTCTTCAATTGAGTCCCAAGTCCTGTTGTCTCAGTTCTAGAGGCAGAACAAGGTTCCCTGCACTCCAGGACTGGATCTGGAGTTTGAGTGGCACTTGTCAGGCCCTGCCCTTTCTGTTTCAGGCTGTAACCAGAGATTCTTGAACTAAGAAACTACCAGCTAATAGAGCAGCCAGCTTGTTTTTTGCAGTTAGCCTGGCCATGCCAAGAGACAGACTGTCAGTCGTCTCATCAGCGAGCTAAGTAGACATGACTTGGGCAGCCAAGGGAGCAGCTATCAAGAGGCTCCAATACTTGTTTCTCTGACCTTGGCAGCATGCTTTGCAGGCTCCTTAATGGCAGAGCCCAGGGCAGGCTAGATCTTGCAGTGCAACACAGCTCTGTTTTGAGCCCTCGTTTGGGATTCCAAGACACCTGTGGGCTCCCAGTAAGATTTACAATTAGCCCCTGCTTCCCCAATCCTCACTTGATTTGCTAGGGGAGAAGCCCACCATTCCACCTGAGTCCCTATATTCTGGCTGGAGTTTTACAAGTTTTACGACTGGACACTCTTGCTGTGTAGTGGCACAAGCTTCACCAAGCTCAGACAGACGCTGTCACTCAGAACAGCTGGTAACCTGTCCCTGCCAATCACAAGACAGGGTTTCAAGGAGCAGTTAGACTCAGACCTCCAAGAACTCCCCAGCCAGGCCGTGCCCGTAAACAGGCACGCCCCTCCTGTGGGCAACCAATGCTCAGCAGCCTCACACTAGTCCAAGTTGTTCCCTGGCCCCACTCGTGGAGAGATCACCCACACCCCTATCAGATGCAGCACCGACAGCAACGCAGGCAATACAGACAACTCCGGGTCACAGAGCACTTGGCATTCCCCCTCACATGCATACGTGTTCCAAGCGCTGATGCGCAGAAAGCAATTATGGGAGACATTACCGATGCTTTTGCCTCAGCAGCCTTGGCTTTCTTCAGCCTGGCCTTACAAGCATCCAGATCCAGACGGCGGTTCTCCAGGATCCTCCTTTCTTTCTAGAAAAAGGGGACAAATAAGGAACAAGGTGCTTAAAAATGGTCTCTCAAAAGGCCGGAGAGAAGCCACCTAGGAATCAAGCTGTTTTGTTTGGCAGTGAGGGGTGATGGGGCAGGAGTAACAGATATCCAGCTCCTGACAACGGTGCCAGCATAAGGATAAAGGATCAGCCTTCTCTAGAGGCTAAAGAGGAGCTTCTGGTCTGGCTGGCATTGCCAACAGGGCTATAAGGACAATAAATTAACCTTTATCCCAAGAGGAAGACAAAGCCCCAATTCCTCCATCCCCATGCAGATGAGGGAGGCTAGTGGGAGAACTGGGATTATAACTTCAAGTATGTAGCTTTTATTTCCCTGCCCTAACAGGCTTGTTAGAAGTTTTGACAGGCTGGGGGAGTCCTCTGGCTTTGTTTTTACCCCTCTCCCCAGTTTCTGGAATAGGAAGAATGTAAAGACACTGGTGGATGAACACTGGTCTTCTCCCCTCTCCCCCCCGAATCTGGGATAAATTCATTCGTCAGCTGCCCGCCCCACACCTCCTTACTCACAGTAATGGTTCGCCAGTCCCCTTCCAGAGCTCCCCGCCCCACACCTCCTTACTCACAGTAATGGTTCGCCAGTCCCCTTCCAGGAAGTTGCGCAGAGGAGTCAGGAAGCTGACAGAAGCAGAGTGCATGAAATCACGTTCAGCTCCCCCCAGGCGCTTCTGCGTCTCTCCAACTTTGAGTAGGGTTTTGCCTGCAAGTTACCAGAGCCCAGATGAGAGAGGCATAAGATCCAGCAGGCATTGTGTTAACACTATTAGCCTTATCACAGCCCAGCACATCTAGGTTAGGATGCTCTCACACAATCCATTGTTTGGGTGGGGCACATTGTGGATTCTAGACCAGGTGGTTATGGCTCGCTGCTTGCTGGCGGCCAAGCCAATTGTAGCCAAGACGGGAAGGGGGAGGGAGGGAGAGAAGAGAAAGGACATTCAGTCAGCACTATGCTAACAGCCTACCCTTTGTTTGAAGCCTCTCTTCTCAACAGCTCTCTGCAGTTTTGATGTTATCTGCCAGCTGGTGCATTTATTCCACTGCAGTCTTCAGTATCAGGCCTGCCCAGGACTAAGTGATGCAGCCCACACTCATAAGGGAGTTATGGGACAGGGATTATTACAGCCCCAGGCATATTTCATGGATGTGCAAAACAGAGCATCAAATTACCAGAGACCAGAGCAGATAAAAGGTGATTGAGGGTCTGATCAGGGCAATGCCGGCTGGCTACAGGCACAATTACAGTCGTTCTGGCTGCAACAGGACCTGCTATGAGCAAGCTATTGATTTAGAGGGCGGTAAACCCAGAGCCTGCTGCCCGGGCTGTGACTGAGCTGAAAGTAAGAGGGAAAGTCAGTGTTTGATTTCAGAGTCCGCTACTTGAGCAGCAATTGGGTCCCTCCAGCAGGCTTAGGGTGCTCTGCTGGATTTTAGAGGCAGAAAGACATTAACCTATGAGAATTCTGGCTGAGGCTACAGGGTAGACATTTGTATGTAAGCCCCGGTTAATCAGTTAACTGGCTGAATGGCATATTTAACTGATTAAATGGTGGCAGGCAGGGTCAAATTCCACTGGTTTCCTTCCATAGTTTTTTCCATTGGTATTGAAGTGACATACATAATGAGCAAGGGCACATGCAGTGAATCCTAGGGCTGGAAGAGAGGTGCATGCAGATTGCACACAACATTGTCTGCAAGAGCTGCATGCTCCCACTGCATCCAGTCAAAACGCTGCAGTTCAGTCAGCACACCCCACAAATTCAGGGTACACAAGCGCAGCGAGCAAAACTGCCCTATCCTGGGAGACCAGCTTGGTTATGACAATCTTGTGGCCCACAGAGATGGAGGGCCACTCACTAGCCCAGATTGCCCATTGCTGGTCTAAACTAGGGATGTGAATGGTTAATCAGTAAGCACCATCCTTACTGGTTACAGTTAACAGGTGTGGGCTGCAGCAGCCCCCTTCCCGCCATGGGGGCAGAAGGCTGCTCCAGCTCAGCAGGGCCTGCCACAGACAGGGGTGCTCCAGCCCACTCCCCCATTTAACCAGTTAACTGGATAACTAGGATTTTACATCCCTCGTCTAACCCCCGCACATTACTCAGAGCACAGATTGGAAAGTGTAGACATGGGGGCGTAGGTTGGGGGGAAAGAGCGGATAACATTTGAGCCATCAGAGAGCGGATGACAACATTTGAGCCATCAGAACAGACTGCCAGTAGGATTCTCAGCAGCTATAAATGCCATCCTTAAAGAGGTCTTCAGACACCACCTGCAATTTGCTGCTCCCAGGAGCCACCGCTCATTTCCAGCATATGCAGAGCTCTGCTCCAGTGAGGAGACCAGATTTACTTAGGTACTTTGCTCCCAGCCTTAAACCTTAGGGAGGGGAACTTGTGCCATCAATGTGTTTGCCCCATCTGTTAATCGGCTCCCAAGCCCCTGAGCAACAAGGGCGCAATGAAGGACTTGGTGGAGGAGGGGGTGCAAAGAAGTACAAAAGCTGAAGGAAAAAGGGATAGCTCAGGGGAAGTAAGGAGAATTGAGACATGGCTTGAACCAGTTATTGTATGGAGAAGTCCAGGAGACTGGTAATGGCCCATTTGTATTGGGCTGGAGATCATGTTAGTATACCAAGAACAGGGGAAGCAACCCACCCCTAAGTCATAGTACCAAGACTAGGGAAGAGAATGGAGCAAACAGACTCACTGGCACGGCAATGCTGCTGGAACATGTGGAGTTACAAGGTACTCCCTCTAACACCAATTTCTAGAAACAATGACTTTTCCTGAGCCTTCTGCCACTGATTCATTAGGGCTGCTAGAGCAGTGGTGGGCAGCCTGTGCTTCATGGGCTGCATGTGACCTACTGGGGTTTCACCTGCAGCTCATGGAACCCATCTGCCCCCTTCTCCCACACCTCTCATGCACCAGGGCACTGAAGCCCTTCACTTACTGCTCCTCTCCAACCTTCCCAGCACTTTGAGCATCATGCATCTGCTGATTTACACTCTGTCCCTGCTTCTCCCCCTCCCAGAGCTTGAATGCTGTGAATCGGTGGTTTGCATCTATTCAAGCTCTGGGAAGGAGGGAGCGGGGAAGTGCCAGGAGTCACTGGATTCGTGGTGCTCTGAAAGTGCAGGAGGGCAGGGCTCCAATGCCCTAGAGTGCGAGACATGTAGGTGGGAGGGGGCAGGAGGAGTGTGGGGGCTGCATGCAGTCCGAGTTGGAGAGCCATTCACCGTGGCTGCTAAAGGTACTAGCAGCTGATCTTGCCTTTACCACTGCTGTGACACCAAGGATATAGAAACTTGAACCCAATTGTGTTTAGGTGGAGGAGACACTAAAGCAAAGCTTCCCAAAAGCCACTGTGGAGAAGAGCTTCTCCCTCCCTATCTAGAAATAAAAGCAGCTTAGCACAACTGTACCACCACCTGAAGGTGCCATAAACCCAGTTTATCCACAGTGCACCACATGTTCCATTTAATAGACCTCCATGTGGAAAAATTTGGGATGCTGTCTTAAGGATCCTATCACGGTGTCACATTCCATTTCAGTTCCAACTTACACAAGTGTAGTCAATGGTATACATTTACAGCTTTCCCTAGAAGCCTGCCACTGGTAACTGGCATTGGAGACCAGAAGGCATCAGGTCTCAGATGAAATCTTTGGGCTGGGTGACAAGAGAAAGGTTCCAGAAACTCCAGGGGATTTGTGGAGACTGAACCAAACACACAAGATGTTGCCCGTTTGCCAATGCCAAGTGACTCACCATATGGCGTCCCTGGCCCAAAGTCATTGGCTGCCTCCATCATGTACTGGGCCAACAACTCCCCATTGGTGACACGAGATGGCACCTTCCGGTCTAGTTTTTCATAGAGGAATTCTTCTACTCTGGCACCTGGAATAAGAATGCTTCAGACAGTTACAGACAAGCAGGGAAAGCAGAGGGAGCTGCTCTGCTTGCATAGCCCTCATGTGACAGTAGCCAATGTAGGAGGTCATCAGGATTGAGATGGAGGCATCAGAACAGGGAGAAAGTTCAGTATTCAGAATCCACCGGGAAGGTCAAGGCTACTGAATGCCAGCCAGAAACAGGCCCTTTCCTGGGGATGGTGGCTCTGTCTTTGTAACACCATCAGATATTCCCCTGTGGATCTGATTCAACAGAGATCGGCCTCGGGGAATTTCTATTAACTCCATTACTGCTGTACCACAGAGCACCAGCACTGTAAACGCTTGCCACGGAATTGGTGCTTACTTGGGTTTGGCTGCAGCAAGACCTCAGTCTGATGCAAGATCTTCTCAGTCCAGTTCTTGGTAGTGTCCGCCCTGGCCAGAAGGTTTTCAAAGTGTGCATCCAGTTCAGTCTTCTCAGCCTGGCCCAGCTTCTCCTCTGTGAACTACAGGAGCAGAGGGGAGGGTGTAGGATACTCATTAGAAGCCCTGCTCCAGGTTACAAAGCTATTTGAAGAGATTGTGAAACCTGCCATGTCTAGCCAGTTGGCCATTCCCCTCAAAGGAATGTTCCGTGAACAAGTCCATTAGAATCCTCTTTAATTACAATTCTGATGCTTTTGTCTGTACAGCTCCATGAACCTTACAGGTGAGGGCAAGTATTGTGTATCTTCAGCATGGATAGGCAGCAAGGTATCATGCCCACTGCTGAGTGACTGGCAGAAAAGCTAAAATAGAACCTGGTCTGACTAGCACTCAGGGCTAGCCTACCTCTCAGTTTAGGGAGTTATTAAAATCCAAGTTAACTGGAGAGGGATCTAATCAGACTGACAGTTAATATTTCAAATGCTAGACTGTCAGATATTGCATTCCTTTACACAGAATTAATGCAAATTTAGGGCCCACTTCTGCAACATGCAGGCTTCTCCAACCCCCTTTGACAATACAGAGCACCGGGAAGAATTAAGCACTTTGTTTTCAGCCTGGAGAGAAAGTTGAGTCAGCCCCCGAGTTTACCACCAACATTCCCAGAGGAGGGAACATTGTTATGAGGTTCTACTCAAAGAATGGCTGTTTAACCTCTACTATTATGACCAGGGAACTCACATCCCATGTTTCACCCACTGCTTCAGTGCAGCATCCCATGCCCCTCCCCCCCAGCTCCTTTACTAGTACATTGTTCTAAACAGCTAATAAACCTTTCAGGCCAAGGTTCTGGGGAGAACCTGCAGCTGGGGGGAGAAGGGAGAGGAGGAAACAGGGGACTAGAACTCTAACAGCCAATCCATCTTTTTGCCCTTCTGACCTAGAGCTATTCTGGGAGTGGGGGGGGTGTAACAGACTTGTTTGCAATAGGGTTCTCAGAAGGCAGATTTACAATTGTCTACAACAGTGCCTGTACCAAGGGAATCATCCCCTTGCTGGATACAGAGCTTATAGAGCCCTCAGCCAAGGGTCTGAAGAGCCAAACACTCTTTGGGGATTAGATAAACAAACCCTCTTGTGCACTGGAGGTAAAGAAATGTAAACCATCTCCTTAATCTTTAAGGGGAGAGGCACCAATACACTTTAAATGGCCACTATTTAACCTTAAATTCCTAAAGTCTTAAGAGTCCCCCTTGCCCTCCAAATCTGAAACACTATGGATGTGTACACAGTTGAGAAGTTATTCTCCTCTCTAATTCCCAGGAAATAGCCAGTTTTCATGCAAGTCTAGAGGTAAGCAAGTTCTAACACCTTCCTACTCAATTTCTACTCCAAGCTCTTTGCCTCAGTTTCTCTTGTCACTCCTTCTCACTAGGTACTTATACTAGCTATCTTCATGAAGTGCTTTAAGATCCTATAGAAGTGTTATGAGCTAAAAGGAAGTCAGGTAACACTGTCAGAACAGGTCTGATACAAACATTTTGTCTACATTTTGCCTAAATTAATGTACTCAAGTAATTGACTACTCAGGTAATCCTATTCTCTCCCCCTCCCCTTCCCAGCCACTCAGTTTCCTTCTGTATTTATTCTGATACAAAATTGCATCACAGCTTAATCAAGCAAGCGCCAAAAAGGCTCATCTGCAGGATTTTATCATACACTGATGCAAACTAGTTTTATTAATGCTAGAAAAGCCTATAAAACAGCTGGATGGTAATGAATGGCCCAAGAAACCATCCACTGTTTATAGAAGGTATGCCACCTTCCCTCGAGATCTTTAATATTTTGATAAGCTTTAATGCTTTATAGCTCCAGATACTCTCAAGTAGATATATACAAAGCCCCTGTTGCTGGCCCCTCTAATTCACTTCCTAAGCCATCATAACCCATTTGTGTTATTGCAATATTGGAAATACCTGGTACAATCACTGACAAGAAATTAAGGACAAGGAACCTGGAGTACAAATGAAGACCTGATCCTCCCTATCTTATCACCCCTTCATGGATAGTCTTAAGGGGGCTGTGAAGCCCCTCTAGAGGGGAATGCTAGAGATGCAAAAGATTAACCAGTTGACCTGTAAGCATCACCCTTACTGTGTGATGGTAACAGTCAACTGGCAGCCTGGAGCAGCCCCTTGCCTGATACGCATTGGGCTGCTCTGGCCTGGGCCACGGGTGTTCTAGCCCAGCCAGAGCAGTCCCTGCCTGCAGCAGGCCCAGCATAGTCAAAGCAGCCCATGGCAGGCATTAAGGGGGAACAGGCCTGCCAGGTCACGCCACAGACTGGAGCAGCCTCCCACTCCCACTGAAGTAGTTAACCAGTTAAATGCAATGTTTCCCATTTAATCAGTTAACTAGTCATTTTACATCTCTAGTATCTCCTGGGGCTGCTAAGGTTTCTTCTTAAAGTCTATGGAGCAAGCCCCACTCTGCTGCAGCAGGGAGAAGCACTGAATGTGGACCACTAGAGCCATGCCAGTACAATGCCTGAAATGAAGCAGTCAGTAGCAAAGCAGAACTGGCACATGATGTGGGAATGCTGCCTGAAAAGCATTTTGGCTTCCTGTTACCAACCATGTGCAAATTTCAGATGCCAGAGATATGCAAAATCCACAGCAGGGCTCTTTGCACAATGACCTCTTATGTCTGGATTGTGCTAGATTTAAAGAACTATTTGCTGAAGTTGTCATGTGTTGCAAGTTCTGTTGAATCACTGGAACAATTAAACTACCCCCTCCAAATCAGCATGGGCAGATAAGCAACAGAAATAGAGCTTGGAAAAACAAATGAGGGATGGGGACAGTTCGAACACATCTGTCTAGAGCCTCCTGCGGATACAAAGTTTGTATCCACACCTGCATCCATATCTGCAGATACCTGTGAATATAAAGAGCATACCTGCAAATTTGCAGGGCTCTAAATCTCTAATCACATCCATCACCTCCTGTTAAGGCAATCTTGGAGGTCATTTATAGCAACCATAGTTACAAGGTTAAGGCAATTGTGATTCAAGGTGACTGACCTTTTAAAACACCCACAACAGCTGTTCCATTCAGGGATTTTTGTATAACCCAAGTTTCAGAATGAAGCACCTAGCACTTCCACAGCTCTGAGTACTTTATGAAAGCAGGCAGAACTACAACAGAGTGAAAACTAGATACAAGAAAGTTAAGTGACTTGTCCAAAGCCACATAGGAAATCAGTGGCAGAAACGGACGAACTATTGTATTCCAAGTTTGGTGCCATAACCACTGGACTATGCTGTTGCCCCTTTGAGAGGCCAACAGGAAGACGGAAAGTAGTACTAGAGTCAGAGGATTTTTGCATTGTCATGTTTCATTTGCAAAGATAAAACCAGTCACAAGAGAAGTAAAGATATTACATTATTTTTCTGGCAAAGAGTGTGCGCGTGCATACAAACACCACGCTGGCTAGCCACTGGTTGAACCTGAGCCCAATTAAAGTGAGAACTGGGTGGCACCTGGAGAGGTGATAGGCACAACTGGTGATCAAGTACATTTATATCTAGTCTAAGCCACAGTCATAACACAGCAAACTGGGGCACCCCAGATATTTGGCTCTAGGATATTAGAGTTCCTATTTGTTTATCAAAATCTGTAGAGAACAGAGCACTGGGGAAATCTTTGGTGCTCCCCTGCTATGGCTGCTCTCCAGTCCAACAGAAAAATCTCTTAAACTTAAGAACCTGAATCTGAAGAGTCTCAATCCCCCTCCCCCCAGGGTTCCAGAAACCTGTGAAACAGCTGTGTTGAGAAGGCTCTGATTCCACTTCCTAGACTACATGGGGAATAAGAGACTGTTGTGGAACTGCCAAGCATCTGCAGCAAAGAGGGCTGGTTGGGTTTGAGGGCTCTTAAACCATTTATGATTTTAGGCTGACTATACACCAGCTGGAAAAAGAGTCAGAACAAGTTTGCCTTCAGACAAAGCTGCACATGAAAGATTGCGGCTGACCCTTCAGCACTGCCTTGTCTAGACTCTCCACAGATTTGGGACTTCACCTGTGACTTCCACAGGGAAGTCATCCTCTCCAAGTGTTATTGCACATTTACAGCTCGGGTGCTACTTCCATAACTAAACACCTCTGTCCCTCAGTCCACTCCTTTTGACAGATTGACAGCACACTTACACATACCACACAGTAGCTAGCAAGTCTTAGCACCATCATTGCTTCAATTCATGCATGCAGAGAAACCTGAAAAACCTAATGCTTTATCTTGCAGCTATCATGGTCATGTGGTCTGAATGATTGTTGCAAACCCAGGCTTACAGAAGGAAGGAGAAGGGCAGCAGGGGGATGGAGGGGGAGAGGTGATTTTGCAAACCCAGGCTTACAGGAGGGAGAAGGGCAGCAGGGGGTGGGGGAGGAGGGATGGAGGGGGAGAGGCGATTTGACAACCTATGACAGGAGAAGGGCAGCAGGGGGATTGGGGGTGGGGGGGGGGGAGGCGATTTGACAACCCATGACAAGGTTATGTGAATGGTCAGACTTCTGAGTGTTTAAATGCACAGCAGGAAGTTCAGAGGCAATGCAAGATGTGTCACTAGGGATGAAAAGAAATCTAAAGATCTTGTAGTTCACATAAAGCAGAAGTAGCTACTCTAATTTGCCTATTCTTGGTTTTAGTACTTCGGTCCCATTTCCTCCCAAGCCTCAAATGCTGCTCTTCAGTCCCCTCAACATGTAAGTTACACCAGTATGCTGATTGGGCCAGATTCAGAGCTAGCTATATTTACACAAAAGTGTACATATATCACCTAGCAGGATGCAGGAAGGTACAAGTTACATTTACTTGACTCTGAACCTCTTAGAGCTGCATTTTTCCCCCAGAGATCTGAACTTTGCATTGGGGCCCATATCTACCAGAAACATGCCCCTAGTGAGACTCTGCTTCTAAGGCAGCCCAGAACAAAAGGCATCTAGAAGCAGCTGTTCGATATGAAAGCGGGAAGATGCACATATGGCACAGTGAAGTAGAAAATCTTCTCCCCTGCCCCT